TTAATGAGTCAGCCATATTCTATTAAAGGGGGGGGGGAGTTATGCACATGCATGATACGTTGTCTTTGTGTTAAGCTTGAATGAATGCTAGAATAGAACCCGAATTGAAAAACAAACATTCAGGTATGCAATTACCCATGTATGAACATCTGCAAACCAAATCAGGCATGGACAATGTAAACCTGAGAAATGACTTCAGGCACATGGACATATGAACAAAATGCATGGATGAAACCACCCATATATACACAGTTCCCTTGACAATCATAAAATATAACTGTTATCTCACCCTTTTTTTTCCTTTAACAATATGTCGATGGAATTCCATTTCATCCATACAAGCTTTCAGATCCGGGAATCCTGGCTTATATGTTGTTTGATAACTATACGCTGTAGACGGCACAGCAGTGGATGGCGCCCCTTTCTCATCTTTAAGCTCTGTCTCATCATCTCCATCCTCACTGGTCCTGAAAATGAGACAATACAAAATGAAAATGATCAACATTTTCAAATATATCAACTCAAGTGATGTAAGAGCTGTGATTTTTGTAATGTCCATTACTAATCAGATTTCGTCAATGCACCATCTTACTAATTGTTGTTATACAATTTAGCATTCACTTGTCACTGTGATTACATAATATTGGTACTTTCACAAGATTTGTTTTTTCTTTGAGTATGCAACAAATGATGATGCCCAATTTCAATGACATGTTTCCTGTGCCTATTATTGAACGATATGCACCACGAAAAAAAAGCAATACTAGTCTACCTTTCTAATGTTGGCAGTTTGACGGGTGACGCCATTACAACAGCATTCTCCACAGTAAGTTTAGCGGCACGGGCAGCTTTGCTCTTCATAACATCCCCTACTGTCTTGCCAGGAAAGAGTCGTGGCAGAAGAGACATTATCTCATCATTACCAGGCTCCAGATGGAGACCCATTAATAAATCGGTTCTTGATCCACCAAGGTTCTGGAAAAGATAAAAAAGCTAAACTTTTGATGGCGCTGTAAA